GGGGGGGGGGGGGGGGGGGGGGGGGGGGGTCCTGGTACAAATGCTAGTGGACACACTGGCATGCAGTGAGGTCCTTTTGCACTAACGTGGAGTCCTCATCGATAAGTAATGGTGCCCTTTGGAGCTTACTTGGAGCCCTTGTGATCAATATCTATTTTAGCACATAACATTAGTCCTACAAATCCTAATTTCACGTTCACGTTGAATGAAGGGGTTTGATGTTTTTGTTGCTATTAGAGATGAAATTTTAGATCGACATTTACCTTATGGCTTTATGATTTTGGATGCCGAAGAAAAATAAACACTTCTACTGATATGCCGAAAAAAATCAAAGCAGATAATTGGTATTTCAGCATCGTAAAAATTTCGAGGTGTTATACATAGAAGAAAATCAATAGAAATTTAGTACCTATGTAATGGTGACTTATTTTAGATGAAAGAAATTAATCTTCAGTATAACAGTAAGAAATTTGACACAAGCGTTCTTTCAATCCAAGATTATATATAGGAGAATTTTGATTCGGATATATATTACTTTCAAATGAAANACGTCGAAAACTACCGTCAAAAGCTACCTCTTCTGGGTTATGCCAATACCAAAGATTTAGTGTGGAGATTACAAGGTTAGCTCTGATACCATGTGAATAATACAAACTAATTTAATAAATCAAACAAAAGAGAAGAACTAAGAGATGGAGGAAGAAAACCGATTGTAAGAGCCTCCAAAAATTAGGACAAAATAAGTTACAATGAGTTTATATAATACAAGATAAAGAAAACTAAATATTTTATAATAATATTATATCTAACATCCCTTCTCAAACTCACGATACTATAGCAAAAAGCAACGAGAGTTTGTCAAGCAAGAAGTGAAAATGATAAACTGGATGAGACTTCGTAAAGAAGTCAGCAAACCGTAACGATGAAGAAACAAAAGGTAGAGAAATTGTGCCAATCTGCAGATGATGACGAATCACATGACAGTCAATCTCAATATTCTTCGTACACTCATGGAACACAGAGTTGTGAGAAATCTGAATAACACTTTTATGAAGAAATACTCATGTTTGTAAGTAACCAACGCAACCACACAATCTCAGCAATAGTGGATGCTATAGCACGATACTCTACCTCAATCGAGGAATGTGAAACAATAGTTTATTTCTTACTCTTCCAAGAGATAAGGGAATCACCCAAAAATATACAAAAACCAGTAGTGGACTTGCACTCGATGGGGTTACTGGCCCAATCAGCATTAGAGTAGGCACGAAGCACTAAAGAGGATGTCGATGGAAATGAAAGACTCTAAAAGCAAGTACCACGAAGATAGCTCAAAATACTAACAACAGTTGCCCAATGAATTGTAGTAGGAGCCGAAACAAACTAACTAATAATGTGAACAACATAAGCAATATCGAGACATGTGATTGTAAGATAAACCATACATCCAACAATGGTGCGATATAAAGTGGGATCAGTCAATGGTACACCGTAAGATGGTAAATATCGAGCGTTGGACTTAAGAGAAGTATCAACTGTTTTAGTATCAGTAAGACGATCATGCTCAATAACATCCATAGTATACTTAGACTATGAGAGAAGATAACCTCTAGGAGAAGAAACAACTTCAATCCTCCAAAAATAAGATAAGGCACCTAAATCCTTCATTTCAAAACGATGAGCCAATTCTAATTTCAAATCTGCAATCCCATCAACATCATCACCAGTAATAATCATATCGTCAACATATAGCAAAAGTAGAATGCGATTGACTGAAGTGCATCTAAAGAATAAGACATAGTCATGATGACTCGAAGTAAAACCAAGAGAGGTAACAACATTGGAAAATTTCTCAAACTAAGCACGAGGTGCTTGTTTGAGGCCATAAAGTGCCTTTTTGAGCTTGCAAACATATCCAGGAGAGTGAGAAAGACTAGGAGGAGGAACTATATAAACCTCCTCTGGAATATTTCCATTAAAAAATCATTTTTGACATCCAACTGAGAGAGACTCCAACAGATGCAACTGCAATAAGTGTACAAACAATGGTCATCTTGGTAACATGAGCAAAAGTCTCCTTATAATCTAGGCCATATTGTTGAGTAAAACCCTCAGCAACCAATCTAGCCCTGTAACGCTCAACTGGACTATCAAATTTGGTTTTAATCTTATAAACCCAACGAGAACAAATATCATGTTTACGTGAAGGCAATGCAACCAAGTCCCAAGTGTCAGAGAGTTCATCAGCCATAGCCTGTTGCCAAAGAGGATCCAGAATAGCTTCTTTATACGAAGATGGTTCAGATAGCTTGTAAATAGAGGTAGAAAACAACAAAAGAAGAATAAGAAATATCAGGTAACTGAGTGGACTTACGAATACATTGAGGATATCGAGGAATAGGGAGAACATGAGCTGGATCATTGATCTCAGAAGGTGCTTAGGTGGCCACAGAAGGAGAAGAGATATTATGAGTCGGAGCATGTATACCTGTAGGACATGAAGAATCGACAATACATGGAGTATGTGAAGGTGGTCTATCATTGTCATCAGAGAATGAATCAATATGAATAAGATCACTTTTAGTCACGTCATGGGTATTATCAGAGATAGAAAAGAATGGAATGTGCTCAATAAATACAACATGACGAGAAACATATAACTTTTTATTAATGGGATCAAAGTAGCGATAACCCTTTTGTCCTTGCCTATAACCCCAAAAAACACAGATAGTAGAGCGAGATTGCAACTTACTACGTTCGACTTCAAGACGAATAACAAAGTAAGTACAACCAAAGACCCTTAATGAGGAGTAATCAGGAGGATGCCCATACAATATTTCAAAGGGTGATAAACCTGAATTGTGGGAAGACAGAATCTTATTAATCAAAGAAACAGCAGTGAAAACTGCTTCTCCC